CGTGTAGGAAAATTATAATTACAAAAAGAGTTCTTCGAAAAGGAACGCTCGCCGTCCTGAAAACTTATCTTAACAGTCGATTTTTATCCATAGTATAATAATGTTGCATCAGCACTATACTGCCGACTAAGATTCTGAGAGGCAGCTACTTTTAGTACTGTCAAAGCCAGCTATAAAAAGCATTTTGTATATGCCCGTGAACTTATATAAAATCCTCTATGGCATAACGTAAATTGTACATGAAACATAACTGACATACAAAAGAACCATCTCTCTCGATCAAATTAGAGATGCCTCTAAGTAATGTTATATACATGGTACTACCATACAGCAGGTTTCATCGATTTAATTCTTATCCGCGTTTATAATTCTGTACTGCCGGGCATGTTCCATTATTCACAGATAAAGCTTGAAAATATTCACATGCCTCGTCCCGACGTACAGATTAACTTCCCGGTAGGAATTGCTGGAGTGGATCGTGTGAAATGTATTTCTGTACAACGAAAGATCGTAATGTCGAAAGATATGTGAAGGTTCGATAACGTACATAGCAAAAGTAGACAGTAAGTTGACAACACGTACTGCTGGATGATATATAACAGAAACATAAAGAACGTGTACAAAGTAGAGAGCAAAGAAAAGTACAAGCCACACCGTTATTGATACAATTAATTCACAACATGCATTATTGGTGGTAATAAAATCGGCAAGAAGAAACGTTAAATATGAACATTATACTTAAGGCATACACACGACGAGCTTGACTGGTAACTAATTGGAGGAAAGATAAAGTAATAGCTCACCAAAGATGACACTTTTACAATAACAGTTATAAAAGAGTGTCCATAAAAAAAAGAGAGGGTAACATTATTTAAGAGAACAGTGTATCTTTGATGAGCTTCCTTGTGATAAAATTACAAACAAAATTTGTTTAGATGAATCATTAAATTTATGCTATTTATCTTTCTTTACATTATGTACACTGAATTTTATTATTGATTAGTTGGTATTTAACGCTATAGCTCTGTTAGTTGCTTAACACTTCCATGCTTCGTATAACATTACATGTTTTATACCGTTAACATATTACTAAAATGAATCGGCGTACAATA